GCTCGGGGCTGGGGCCGGGGGCGCTGGGCGCGGGGGCCGCGCGCTCCGCACCTGCGGCGGCCGCTGGGCGATGCCGGGGCCGCGGGCGTCCTGAGCGCAGCGCCCGCCCGGGGATGCCCGCCGCGCTGCTGGCGCTGGCCATGTCGTCGTCCTTCTTCAACCCCAGCTTCGCCTTCAGCTCGCACTTCGACCCCGGTGAGTCCGCGCGCGGCGCCCCTGGCTGGCGGCCCTGCCGGCCGCGGCTGCCCCCCCACCTGTCTCCCCACTGCGGACATGGTGCTGCCCGAGCCGCGGCTTTCCCATTTTGCATGGAAATTAACCCCTTCCCCACCCTGAGCCGGAGCAGAAGAGCAGGGACCGGCGCCGCGGACCACTACAGGTCCCCGGAGGTGGCAGGCCCTGGGGCCCCGACCCTGCACAGCTGGGCCCTCCAGCTGCCGGCTGGCAGCAGCGGCCCAGTGTCTCTGTGGATGCCTCCCTGGCACAGGTAACTGGAGCACGGAGGGCCTGTGTTGGCCCCAGGTGTCCAGGAGAGGAGGTTGCCAGGACTTAGGGCCGGTGGGGAGGTGCAGGGGTGTCTGCCAGGATGGGGCCCAGGCCTGCCATGGCCTCTTGCTGGTCCACGGTCTTGGCGTGGGAGGCTCCTTCCCAGGCCTGAGTAGGTTCTGGGATCCCTGTCCAGCCAGTTGGCAGCTTGGGGAGGAGATGGGAGCCATGGCAGGCCCATAGGACAGAGCCCACCTGGTAGAGGCCTAGAGTCAGGCCTTGTGGATGCCCAGTTCCCAGAAAGCAGGTGAGGCCTCTGAGGGGATGCTGTTCTGCCAGGCCTCTTACCCTACCCAGCCAGTGGACCCGGCTGGCCGCGGCATGTTTAATTCTGACTACCTGGCCATGGTGGGCAGCTTGGGTGGGCAGAGGAGGCCCCAGGCAGCTGGAGGTTCCAGTTGTTGCCAGGAAGTGGTGGGCTTTCTTCCCTCTGTCTGCTCCAGTTCCCACCCTGCTTGGCCTGAGTGGGAGGGAGATGAACCCGGCCTCTGGGCTCTGAGTCCCACCCACATGTCCCTGAGGCTCCAGCATGGGGCCTGCAGAGCCCAAACAAAGCCAGGCTTGCACGTGACAGCTCTCCTGGGTCTCCGTCCTGGAGCGGGGCCAGCGTGTGCAGTGATGTGCAGAGTCCCCTGGGCAGAGCGGATCTGAAGGCATTTGCTCCTGGGGGCAGGGAGCTGTCTGTCTGGCTTAGAGTTAGGGATGTTGCTTGCTAGGAAACGGCTTCCCGGGTGACCTGAGGGGCTTGGAGGACATCGGCACCATGGAACCAAAGGCCCAGAACCCAGCAGCAGCAGCAGTGACCCGCCAAGCAGGAGCAGAGGTGGCCTTGCCGTGAAGCCCCAGGCCCAGACTTCCTTTAGTGACAGGCATCCAGATGGCTGGGGGCCAGCACTGGGCCCTGGGAAGTCCCCATGCCGGGAATTGCCAGGCACACTTTCTACCTACTGTGGGAGGCTGGTCCAGACTCCAGACAGGTTGCTCTGAAGCTGTGGGCTGGCAGGGGGCAGGGAGGGGCTGCCTGCAGGTGGGGGACCTCACACCCAATCTCTTGCACTCTCTGCTGGGTCCAGACTTGCCCTGGTGCCATCTTATCCCTTCCTCTCCCTCCCTCCCGGTGCCCGGGCAGGAGCGGCCCTCCCCCATTTTAGAGAAATAGCGGCTCTGTGCAGTTCTTGCTCCTGTTTGCCTAGACACTGGAGTGTAATTACTGTGAGTCGGTTTAATGACCTAAGAGGGGAAAAGTTGTCAGAGGCAAAGGGAGGTTTCTGTTAAGAGCTGTGTGCTCAGTGGGTACTGCATCCCACCTGCCCAGATGGTGTTGAGGAGGAAGGGGACCCTCTTGGAGAAACAAGGCTGAGGTCGAAAGGGGCCCCTACGGGTGGAATCCACTGTAAACTTAATCCAGTGTTCAGAGCCAGCACCCCCCCGAAGTCCCTCCGTACTTGCCTCTCTGGGCGCCCCTTTTCCCATCTATCAAATGGAATGGTGATGCCTGCAGCCAGGTCTAGGTTGGGGTGAAGTGTCCAGCAGAAACTTCTGTTTGGAGGCGTGTGGGTGTGAGGGTGTGGAGGGGTGGGAGCCTCTCTTGGGGCACAGCTGGTGCTTAGGCTCCCTGTGGCCGCAGTGGCTGACTGGCTTTTCTCCATCTCATAGTGAGTGCCTGAGGTCTGTCTGCATCTTGGGGGTCTCATTGGGGCCATCAGACTCTAAGAAGGGAGGGGCTCAAGTTCATGATGGTTGCAGTTTGTTTTAGTGCTGTTCAGCTGGCACAGGGTCCTTCCTGACAGTCCCCAAGCTGTGTCCTTCTACCCATGGCCAGCTCTTTGTCTGGTCCCCATAGAAGTGACAGTAATCATGGTAGCACAGGTGGTGGGCACACCTGAGAGTAGAGGGGCTGAGTTAGAGGTAGAGGCCATCACACCTGCTGGGGTTCGACTGGGGCCCTCCATCACCACAGTCTCGCCGGGCAGAACACGGTGCGAGGGGACCAGGCCTGGACGCACACTTCTGGGATGCTGCAGATGTGGATGCCTTCTTGGCAGCATGGAACCCAGTGGCCTCTGTGCTGTATGGTCTCGGGCCAGTTTCCCAACCCCTGTGCACAGGTAAAATGTCACCCTGGGGTCACCAGGTGGACAGGGCACAGAAGACAAGAACTGATGGGTGAGGGGTGATCTCTGGGGAGACAGGACCATGTGCAGCCAGCTGGGCAGAAGGGGCATATGACCTTGGGGTGGGAGTTACTTCTCCGAGTGCCCTGAGGCGGAAGGTTACCACGTGTCTCATTCCGGGCCTCAGGATAACCAGATGCAGCTGAGGGACCCAGCAGGTGTCTGCCTCGGGCAGGGTGCTGTGATTCCTGGGACCTGGAGCTGGACTGAGGGGGCTCAGCCTTGATTGGGAAAACCTGCACACTTAGGGTCCGGGTTTTCCTGGAGGCTTCCCCTCACAGGTGTATTCACGAGCCCCTTCCTGATTGTCCGGCCAGCTCTGTGCCTCAGTTTCCCTCTCCGTAAGGCAGGAATGGCTGCAGCGCCCACATTGGAGGGGTGATAGTGTGGAACGCTGAGCCGAAGGTTTACCTGAGCAGGGTTTGTCAAGGCTGCCTCTGCTGGGGTTGTGACTGGGCAGGGTGGCACCGTGGACCAAGTAGCAGTCCTTGGAATATGCAGAAGCCCGTGGAATACTCAGGCAGCCTTGACCTGCTGCTCCCCCACTGCCCACCCCATCGCCAACCCTTCAGCTCATGGAGGCCTTCCGCCATGTGGGGGTTTCCGGGGAAAGCAGGATGGTCACTCCCTTTACGTCCATGTGTGACTGGGTGCAGGGCCCACAGTGACCATGTGGTAGAGGAGCTGTGTGTTCCATGCTAGGTCCAGTCTGAATGTGGTATGCACTCCGGGGACTTGGCCAAGAGGGACCCTAGGGGAATGATCAGATCCTGGTTGCTGGCTTGCAGGTGCACTTTTTTTTTTTGCAGTACTGGGTCTTGAACTCAGGGCCTACACCTTGAGCCACTCATTTTTCTTTTGTGATGGATTTTTTGAAGACAGGGTTTCATGAACTATTTCCCCAGGCTGGCTTCACACCACGATCCTCTTGATCTCTGCCTCCTGGGGAGCTAGGATTACAGGTGTGAGCCACCCGTGCCCCGCGCCGATGCACTCCTGAAACCAAAACCTTGTGACCTGTGCTCAAGCAGCCCAAGAGCTGTGGGGCCTGGTTGAAGGCCCCGTACTGCCCAGGCATCCCAGACCAGCCTGGGCCTGGGGGCAGGAGCCTGCCCTCTGCCCTGCTTACCTCCCCAAACCCTGTGCATCTGGGTGAAGGGCAGCCCAGGGCAAATGCTGCTGTGGAGACCCTTGGGGCGCAGGCAGGCAGGCTGAGGGGCTCCGTGCAGAGGCCCAGGTGACCTTTCTAGAAGTGATCATCGAGTACAGGCTGCCCAGCCCATGAATCCAGGGTGTGTGAATGTGTGAGGTCACCAACCCCCCTGGGCAGGGGCTGGGGGAATGTGGGGCCCTGTCACCCTCACGCACCGGCACTGCTGCACGCACATGGGGACTTGGGTCACCTACATGTGTCTGCACAGACACAAACTCACAAACAGGCACCTACGGCCTCCCATGTGCCTCCCATGTGCTAATGTGACACATGCCTACACGCACATACTCACATGCAGGTGAGTGGGGCTCTACACACACACACTTCACATGCACATGTGTTGCCGAGCCTGCCATTCCTGGCGTGTGGTCATCTCTGTGGGGACCCTTGGGGCCAGCTCCCTCTGAGTGGGGTGAGGACATCCCCCCTGCTGGTGTCCCATTCACCATCCGTTCCTGCGGCTCCTTCAGTTACTTGGAGTTGAAATTCCAGGCTGTCTTGGATACTGGTTCTTCCCAAGGTCATGGCGTCTCCCTGGTCTTGGCTAACTTGAGCCAGGCATGTTGGTTTCCGGCTTCTGCATGGATCTGAGTCCCATGAGCTGGCTGGCTTGGGTCTGAGCTCGTGTGTTGTTTGGGACATGATGAGGAGGTCAGCCTTGTGCCACTTTCAGGGTACCTCCATGCCTGCTGTGCCCCGGCCCTGACCCGCTGCAAGGAAGGGACCTGGCCTTGCTGTGTGACCATAGATGAGGGGTCTTGATTTCTCTGTGGGGTTTGGGCCCTCTGCTCCCAGTGAGCAACCTGAAAGCCAAGGGACTCATCGGTATGGCCAGGACTGGTCTCTGCTTACACTCACCTGTAACAGAGATGCGGGGTTCCTCCCTGTACCCCACCATTCTCTCCAGGGGATGTGCACTGGGTTGAGTGGTGTCACCCCAGATTTATGCCCACTCAGAACCTCGGAATGGGGCCTTGTTTGGAAAGATGTAATTATATTATTTTTAAGATGAGGTCATACTGAGGTAGGGTTGGCTCTAAATCCTAAGAAAAAGACCAGACGGCACAGAAGGAACCCCAAGAAGAGGAGGCAGAGCCTATAGTCATGGGGCCAGAAGCCAAGGAACACCTGGAGTCCCCAAAAGCTGGAAGAGCCAGGAAGACCCCTCCCTAGACCTTCAGAGAGAGTACAGCCCTGCCGCCTCCTGGATTTCAGACTGGCATCCAGACTGTGAGAAGATAAATTATTCCTGCATGAGCCATCAGTGTGTGACACTTTGCTTTAGTCACCTCAGGACACTGGTGCAAAGTGTCTCTGCAGGTCTGAGTGCAAGGCGGGGGCTGGGGGATCTGCACCCACCCCGGTGTCTGCTTGACTTTGGTGGGTGAGGGGTGAGCCTGGGGTTGATGCCCTCACTGTTCCTAGCCACCTGTCTTCTGCTCATGGAGTACTTCCTGAGGGTGGGTCATGCCTGACCCCTGCCACCCTCTTCCTGGGTCTGTGGTACCTGCCCTCTCCTGTGGTTCTTGAGGTGGGATCTGAGGCTGGGCCACAGGGAAGCCAGGAGACTCTGCTTGTTGTTCAGGGGCTGCTGGGCCCCCGTGCCCTGTTCCCAGCTGGCGTGGATGAAGTGGGCCCTAGAGCTGTGTCTGTGGTGGAGACCTCCCTCCCCCCCCCAGCCATTCGGACCATGGTGCCTGGAGGGCTTCGGCGTAGGGGCCACTCCAAGCTGGCCCCGCCTGCTGTCACAGAGGAACTAACAGCAGCAGGACAGGCGGCCAGGGCCTCCCCGCCCCCAGCAGAGGAAGCCGGCAGAGGAAATGAGGGCGGCGGACGCGGGCCGGAGCCAGTTCCCAGGCCGCCTGTCTGAGTGGACGGTTGCCCGAGGACTGTCACAGTGGCGTCCCCTGCCTTACTGTGCCTGGGTCGGGGGCCAGGGCATCAGGGTGCAGTGAGGGTGGGGGGTCCTCCTGAGTTTCACTGTGGGGTGGGGTGCAGTTGGAGCCACGCGGGAGCCACGCCCAAAGCCGGTACGTGGGGGTTTCTGGGAGCACACAGGTTGCTCTGCCACTGCCAGCCCTGGGGTGGGGGACAGGAGAGCTGTTCATGAGGCCTGTGCTGGCAATAGACCTGTGTCCACACCCAGACTGGGCAGGGCCTCTGCAGTAGGCGGGCTGGACAGCGGGGTCATCTGTCACAGATGGGGGAGCTAAGGCGAGGAAGCTCAGTAGTCAGAGGCTTGGTGGCCCCACGGATGCCCCTCATCGGGGTAGGAGGAATAACCCCGTCTGCTCTTGTCTCCCCCTTGGTGAGGTATGCCTGTGGCTCCTTTTCCTTACTCCTTACTGGGTGGGGAGCCCAGCTCCGCCACCCCCAGGATCCCCAGAGAGGCATCTCCTTGTCACTGTCCTGAGCACATGGCACCAGGCTGCCCTGATCAGCTGGACTTGGCCTGCTGTGGAGATGGCCTGCCTGCTGCTGTGTGAACTAGGCAGGGGACAGGGGAGCTTGGGTCTCAGACCTGGGCTCTGACGAGGTCACCCTGAAGCTGAGCTTTGAGACCAGTGGGGTGGCATGGAGGATGGGTCCTTGAAGTTGGCAAGCACTTAGGTTCCGGTGCTCAGTAGGGCCCTTCTGGCTTCATGTTGGGTCCTTATTATCTTGAAATTCTTTTTTTTTAAAACTGGGAATGGGCCGTGTGCATTCTAGGCCAGCCCTCCACCCCTGAAATTCTTCATTTCACTGTTTGCACTGCGATTTTGCAGCTGGCTGCTCTGCTCAGGGTGCCTGGTTCAACCTGAGGGCCAGGCCCCAAGGGCATCTGGGTGGACAGTCAGTAGATAGAGGGGTGCAGTGGCTTCTGTCCCCCACTGAGTTTCTGACAGGAGACGTGGCGCTGTCCGAGGTCCATGTGTCACTCTGCTGTGAGGCCCTCATGGGGTTTTCTTGAATCCCCCCACAGGCAAACATGCCCGAGTCTCCAGGGTATGGCCTGAGGGATTTGCCTCAGCTGGACACACCCACATGACAGCACTCCCAACCCTGGCACCCCGTTGGCTCTGTCCCCGAGCCACCGCACTGCTGCCTCTGGGCTCTGCAGACCGTGATGTCTCACTCACGCTCTGCCGAATAATTTTCTACCCTGTGAACAGAGCAGCCACGCATCTGCTCCATGGTGGGGCAGGGGAAGGTGGGCGTGAGCATTTGGTTCTGTCCAGCTTCGGGCTGTCTCTTGGGGTGCAGCCATAAGCATTCTGGCCAGCCTCTTCCCTCCCTCTCCCCTTCCCTCTTTCTTCTTTGCTGAGATTCAATTCTAGTGGCATGTAGTTTGGAATCCAGGGCTTTCAGTACTTAGAGCTGTCTAGCTAGTCCCACGATCAATTTTGGAGCACTTTTGTCCATTCCTCCTTCCCTCCCACCCTGGAACTGAGAATCTGCTTCCTGCAGCACGATCACAGGGTCTCTTGTTCTCTGACCACCCTGTACCGTTTCTGATACGCACACTCCACAGAAGGATGCTGGGGCGTGGCTTTCGTGGACCTTGCATCCCACACTTCTCTCCAAGGGAGGTGCTGGAACACTGGGCCTGGTCTTCCTGATCTCAGCCTCCTGGTGTGTGTGTGTGTGTGTGTCTCAAGGCGGCCTCAGTCACCTTCCCCGAAAAAAACACTGAGTGCCTCTCTGGGCTCATTGGCTCCTCAGAGATCCCTCGTGATCTCTGAAGAGAACTTCTTGCTCGTTGCTTTGTGGGAACATCCATGTATTCTGGACATGGGTCCTGGTCAGAGATGTGTGTCAACAGGCTCTTTGCTCATTCACTTCCTAGTGATCTTGTCTGCCTGGTGTGCAGGGTGTGCAGTGCAGATGGTGTGTGTCTCCTCCCAACCCAGAGCGGCTGCAGTGAGCGCTTCACGTCTTGCCTCCAGGGACCCACTGTTGACCACTGACCTGCACACCACTGGGTGGCCATCTTGGTCTTCTCGGGAAGGAGCCTGGAATCTTGTGGCATCAGTAGGCATTCCTGAAAGGCAGCGACTGACCCCTCGGTGGTAAATGAGCAGGCTGATACTGCTCAGACCCCTGGTCCTGTTCTTCCTGGGGCCTGCTCCTGCCAGGCCCAAGAGCATGGAGTTGTCCATGGTTGGGGCTGCATCTGGGCTGGGCCCTGCCTTGGCTGTCTTCAGCTCATGCCCCCAAATCTTGCCCATTCTGCTGTTCATACTTGTGGGGTCCTGGCATTGGTGGCACCCACAGTCAGCTGTTCTGAGCTAGAACTGCTGCGTCCCTCTCTGCTTTATTTTTCCTTTTGTGACAGGCAGCCCTACAAGTTCGGTCTAAAAATAACCACAGCCAGCATGCATTCCGGGCGCTTGACAGTCTAGCCAGCCCTGTGGGTTTCCTCCTTGGCTGGCCTCAGCCTCACAACCCCTCAGACTTAGCTCTGCATCTGAAGCTGGGGTGGGGTCCCAAAGTGACCAGGAAAGTCAGGGAAAGGGGTGCACATCACGAAGCTGGGACTGGGAACCGAGGTGGGACATTATCCATGCCAAGGAGATATAGACCATTTGTGTGGAGCAGCGAATGGCCCCAGGGACAGAGCAATGGTAACCCTGTGTAACATCGACCTTGCCACTGCCACCCAGCTGCCTGAGCAGGGTTTCTCAGCTGTAGGCACAGGGTGCCTGGGGGCTGGGGCCATCCTGAGTGCCCACTCCTCCTTGAATCAGCCTAGGGAAGGCCCTTGGGTGCCAGGGAAAGCATTGAGGGCCTGGGATCCAACAGAGATCAGGCCCCAGCCTTGTCATATGTCTGCAGGAGGGATGTCACTCAAGAGCGTCATGCTGGTAGAACTTCCTTCTGTCCTTGGGCCTGGCAGCCACTGGACAGTTCATTCCAGTGTGGCATGTCAAGGGGCCAGGAAGGCAGGCTTTGGGGTCTTGGGAGAGAATGCTGGGGACCCTGGGGACTCTTTGCAGCAGGAAGTGGATGCTGTATTTAGCACAAAGACGGATGGGGCTGGGTGCTGCCCTGGGTGTGCTCAGGGAGTCTGGGGATGTGGGCACGTGTGCACATGTGAGTGTGCTGATCCCCGTGTAATGTGTGCACGCACACGAGGATTTGTACACAGCTGTGCGTCTATATATGTAAGCATGTGCACATTGCATGCATGTGTTGAGCACGTGTGTGAGGACCCACGATGTGTATGTGGGAGTAAGTGTGTGTGCATGTCTATTGAGCACACATGTGCATGTGTGTGCGTATGCATGTGGCACAAGTGTGAGGATGTGGGAGCATGTGTGATTCCCCCAGGGTCCCCTCAGGTCCCTCCCAGAAGCTTTGATCCTAGGCTTTCTCTGCCCTTGGACTCCTCTCAGCCTTCGGGGTACAGATAACGTTTTATTTCCTAGTTCAACATTGATGACAGAAAGGGGGCAGACTCCATCCTTGCCAGCAACCTGTCACCTTCCTAGAGCTGGGTCCAGGGTCTAGGAGTGAAGGTGCGGTGTCTGCATGGTTTCCCTTCCTGTGCTCCACCTGCCAACCAGCTGGCCGCAGGTGCTCCCTGTGCCCACGGCCCTGTCCAGTCACATTCAACAGTGGGCCCACTGCACCAGGCAGGGCAGTGTGTGCAGGTGCTTTGGCAGTGTGGACGTGGTGGGGCCTTGGAGCCTGCAGCTGAGTGGCCCATTCATCTGAGGCTCATCACTCCCAGGGGCAGGCTGGCTCTGGCCCCAAGGACGCTTTGTGGCTTTATGTTAGACCTCATGTGACAGAGCAGCTGCAGCCTCTTTATAGCCACTGGACACCATATTCTGTTACCTGGGGGATCCCTTAACTTCCATACCCCCAATCCTTGCCACCCAGATTTCCATGTGACAGACTGTGCCCACCCCTGCCCTGAGCCCTGGGTCTGAGAAGGTCAGGAAGGTCCTGGGGTGTGCTGAGTCTGGAGGGCACAGTCTCCTTTTCTAGTGCCCTCAGTCCCCTTTCCCCTTCGGGAGGCTTGGATGCACCCTGCCCAGAGCTCGGCTGCAGAGGCAGGAAGGGCAGGCCTCAGTTTCCCACCTGCTGGGGACTGTCTGAAAGTACCCATCATGCGCTTTCAACTTGTAGGGTGGAGTTGTCCTCTGCACGCAGCCATGGTCCTGGGAAGCTGTGGGGACTGGAGATCAAGTGGTGACTGGCCAACCAGGAAGGCCTCGAGGTACCAGGGACTCAGGCCTGTTGCCTTGGTGACCCTGCTGTACCAGTGCCAGGCCTGGCTTCCGTGTCTCCACCTGGGGAATGGACCATGTCACCGCTTGGGAATTCTATTCCTCTCAGAAGCCTCCATGTCTGGCCCTTGCAGTGAGAAGCCCTGGCCCGATATGGAGGACAAGAAACCCTTTCTCAGACCTCCCCAGAACCCTGCTACATCTCCTGCCACAAGCTGTAAAGGGGGCATCCGTGACAGACGCTGGGGACCCCAGCTCTCCCTGGGCATTGGCACCGACCCTACGTGCTCCAGTGCGTCTGACTGCCTTGGCTTCTCTCAGCCCAGTGGTGTGCCCGCCCACTGGGGTTGCATGATTTCCTTCCTGTGCAAGATCCCGTTTGCATCACCACACAGGCAGGCGGGGCCGGTGCCAGCAGGTCCTCAGATGCCCCGAGCCCCCTGTGCCCGACTCATGAGTGGATATGGGACGCAGCCTGGCTTTGCTGACTGTCTGGGACACTCTGTCCTCAGGGCCCCACATACCTGGCACAGGCATTGGTGGGTCGTGAACTCCTGGGAGTGAGCAGCAGAGGGCATCTGGCAGAGATGGGAGCCCACCCTGGGACAGCTGTCTGTTGCGCGTGTAGCCCCTGTTCCAGGGGGGGTTGAGGATGGTGAGGAGCAAGGCTGTGGACACCTGGGGTGTCCCTGGGGGAAGGAGCTCCATGGGGACATTGGGTTGGGGCAGGGCTGGCCATCAAGAGCTCCTGACCTGGTGTGGAAGCTCAAAGTAGAACATGTGTTGTAATGACACTCACGTAGGACGCCCGGTGA